AGAACAGCCTGGAAATCAGAAACATCAGGTCCAGGGGTCCCAAAGGAAATTGATATCAACACACTGCACTCATAGCTTCCCTGTCTTCTTGTCTTCCATCACCTTCCCAAATCTCTTTACCCATGACAGTGGTTGGGGCTGCCTCTGTGTCTCCAGTGTTCTCCCTAGCCCAGAAAACTGCAGGGGCAGGGAGGGTCCCTCAGCAGGAGTATTTAATGGGAAGAGCAGAAGGTTAGGAACAGGCCCACCATGTCATCCTGCTGATTTGGCTGCCTTTTCTATTTCTCAGAGTTTCAGGAACACACAAGAACTACTCATCCTCCAGGCCTGAGCTCTGCCATCAGACCCAATCTTACTCACCAGCGTGAAGTTGCCTAGGGCACACAGAGCAGCTTCCTGTGTGAAGAGGAGGCTATATCAATTCAAACCTCTCCAAACCCTTCCCTAACTTACTTCCCAAAAATCCAGCAGAAAATTCATCCAATGGAGGGGTAAGGGAGGGCACGGGAGTCCTGGTTCATTCCCTGCCCACTGCTGACACTCCGAACTTCAGCCTGTTTTTAATACAGACAACCCTCCTGGTAAGATCCAGACAGAGACTGAGCCACACTGACCAAACCCGGCAACACAAAGAGCCCAATCAGGGGGAGCTCAAACCACCAGGAAAGAAACACTGCATTTGAAAGAGGAGAAAAATCCAGATGAAAAGATCAGAAAGGACCTTCCAGGTCCTGGATTGCCCTAAGGGACTTAGATATCACTTCTATATCCATCTGCTAGAAATAAACCTATTTGGTCACCAAGGCACACCCAGGGGATGCCCCTGTCCTGTCCCCACCACCAGCAACTCACTGTGGGTGGGTAGGTGGTCTCCTCCCTCCAGCCCACTTCTCACTCCGTTGCCAGATGAACCAGCACTTGCAGCCACCAAGTGTCTGTTCTGCAATAAAGAGCAATAAACATGCCAGAGTAATTAATGTCTTAACAACTTATTACAATCCTCAGATAATTAATCACAAAAGCTAAACATGCTGTCTCACCCTCCTAATGTGTTAATGCTCTAATTATTATGCCTCAATTAAGGGAAAGTCAGCGCTCCTTGCTTAGAAGTGCATGTTTAATAAGGGTGCTTGAATGCAGGCAAGTCAGAATGGGAAGCGAGGAAGTGATGGGGGTTAAGGAAGAGGACACAATTTTTAATGAGGTTTCATGGGTGGCTCGAGGCAAGGAATTGACAGCTCCTATCTGGGATCTCACACAAGACTGCACGTGGACCTGGGGGCCATCTGCGGTGGCTCTGTGGCTTCCCACTGGACTATTTATAGGAAAACCAGCACGTGGGACACAGAGAAGGCAGGGACTGGAGATGAGCAGTTACACCATGGATCTGGCCAGCACTAGACAGCAGAGGTAGCAGCTTGAAGAGCAGTCACTACAGGAGGGGTGTTCTCTCCAGCCCCTGTAGTGCTCTCTTCCCAGTCACACCAGCACTTGCCACCACTCCTGTCCCCCGTGAAGCATCCCTGCTGCCTGAGCTTCTCCAGCCAGCCCTGTTTCCACAATGGCCCCTTGCTAGTCTTGCTATCTCTGGGACATCCCACAGAGATGATAATAACAGCCCTCAAAAACCAGGATCCCTCTTGGGATGTGACATATCAGCTCATCTGATTTCAGCCACTGCCTGGGGGTTTCCCACAGCTCCTCATTGCCTGAGGGAACAGAAAGCTGTGTCTCAAAGAGCACACCATTAAACAGGCTTGGTTTAAAAGTGGGAGAACCACTTGTGGTGGTTATTGCCACTGAATCTGCCTTCCTGGTGGCTGGACCTGAACCTTGCTGGATGCTGGGAAACCTCAGAAAGGGGTTTTTGGTTGTAAGGAGCTTGAGGAGACGAACAATGAATGTAGGGCCTGGACCCCTCACCATGTGATAGCAGGAGGTTCCACTCAAGGCAGCTCTGCCCCCATGTGACCCTTGTTCTTCGGAAAGACTTGTGGTGCAAAGAGCAGTCAAGGCAAAGATGTCATCACCATCATCCCACCCATCCCACCCTGAGGAAGCAGTGACCCTCAAAGCAGCAGGCACAGGAAGCTGGGACCAAGATAACCAGGCTCCAGATCTTGGCACCATACAAGAAGTAGCAACAAAAGAATGGCTGGAGCCCAGGTCTCCCAGACAAAGCCTATAAAACTTCTATTTTTTCAATAAAAAGCTTTTGAAAGAACTCCCCCACTCAAGTAGGTCTTCACACAGAAGAAAACTCTCCCTGAATCAGCCTGGTTTCTGTTCCATCCAAGACAAATGAATCACCAGAAGCATTTCTAGCCTAGGTTTGACTGGAAAACGATTGCATTTCCTTAAGAAATAACACACTGTGTAGGTTTGGATGGTTCCCTCTGAGGAATAAGGGAGAGGGAATAAGAAACAAAACAAAGTAAAGCAACCTGGAGGGGACATGAATTTTAAAACCCATGAACAGTTTTAGTTTTCAAATAATTCAAATGAAAAAAAAAAGTGTTTCACATAGTCACAGAAAAATAATTCTGTTACCTTGATTCTTTGGTGAAGTCTCATGAAAAAGAAAAGAAAGTTCCTCACCTCTGAGGCACCAACCTGTCAGCAGCTTGACTGGTGAAAAGGGGCTGATGCCTCCCTGTAGAGGCAGCCTGTAGATTCTCACAGGGATGAGGGCTCAAAAAGAAGAGCTTTTTGAGCTCTTGGCCTCCCTCCATGCTGCTTCCCATTCCAGCATTGGTCTTGACCTGCCCAGACTCTCCTTCATCTCTTTGATGAAGATGACTTCAGACACCCAGCTCTAGCTCTCTGCACTGGGCTGGAGGCATCACAGCTCCTCATCTCAGCAGCTTCACTTTGTTCTGTGATGAGCTGCTGCGTGGAGATCCCACAAAAACCCAACCTACCCTGCAAAACCTGACCATCCAGGACAGAGCCATCAAAATCATTGTGAAATCTGAGCAAACACAGCCTCATCAGGGAGATGTATAAGGGATATGATGCTTCTTGAGGAATCAAAGGATCTTCCTGTTATGGTTTTCCCTGACTGGTGGACTGGGAAGTTTTCTATGGATATTGGCATCTATGTTGTTCATCTGTGCTGAAGATGGCTGTGCTCAGAGATGAGACTGTTACCTTCTTTCTTTCCAAACATAATATCCAGTTCTCTCAGGGACTGCAAGGAAATGGCTGACTGCTTTTGAAAATATGGGCCATTGCTTCAGTTCTGGGGCTAGAAATTTTGGCTTGGTTATACTGGATTTGACCTATTCCAAAGTGTCAAGTCAGTTGAACATCCAGTGCCAGGAGTTCTGGAGAAGTTGACTGGCTTTTGTCAGTATGCTGTGGGGTTGGAAAAAGCTGTTTACCTAGAGGACTGCCATGATACACAGCTCCTGTGCCAGGATGTTTTCCCTGGGATGCTCTGGGCCCCATTGAGCCTGTACCTACCATGGCTATGAGACCAGGCATCAAACCTGAGCCTTCCTCCAGGTACAGTGGACCTACATCCCCAGTAATCCTCACTCTGCCCAACCTGGGCATGCTCCCATTACCACTGGAGTAGTCAAAACAGAGAGGGGAATTGCTGTGCCCCTTTGCACCTTTCTCATCTGAACTCAGGATCATCTTCCCGGAGCAAGTCACTGCCCCAACAGACCAAGATCTGCTCCCAAACACGCTTACAAAACACCTGCTGCCAGCGACCACGTGGGCATGTTCCCAGAGTCCTAGAGCAGGGCTTGAATGCTGAGGGCAGCCTCTGGAGAGCAGCAGATAACCATCCCATGAACAGATACCCCACGGAACGACCATCACACACAACAGCATCACTGCTTCCCAGAAAATGACAGTAGGCCCGAGTGGATTAAAGTGCTGGAGCACAAAGCTGGTGGCACTGAAGCCCAGATGCCCCAGCCCCAACCTCACAGCCCCCTCCAGCAAGAATTTTATGAGCTCAGCTTACCCCCTCCCTCTGCCCACTGCCTTTAAGACAGCGTGCAGCATGACAGCTGGGAAACCCAATCTGATCCAAATTTTGTTACAACCCTGCTGGTTTTTATCCTTGTTTACCAGCATTAATTTTAATGGCTTTCCCTACATTAACTTTGTCCTGAATCAGTTGGAGGAAAATTCCTACTCACTTGCCTTCTGGAGAACAGACTGGGTAATTTTCCCTTGTCATTTAACAGCCCGCCTGGGCTGCTCAGAAATGACAACCATACTGTGTTCTTTGTGGAGGGCAATAAACTTCCCAAGGCCGGGGGAGGAGAATACATATTCCAGAATACACTGTCCCTTCTTGGTTCAGTTTGGGTCTTGGCTTGTGCTGGCACAGCAAATGGAATTTCTTCCTCCTCACCAGATGCTGTGAGTGTGGTTCCACTCCTTTCTCCTGCTCACAGAGAGGTGTGATGGCTCAGACCATGGGAAGGAAGAGAAACTCTCAGGACTCTTTCAGCACCTTTACATTCCCACTACAGAAAACAGGGCAACAGTTCTTTCCACAAAAGATATGCAAGGGTTCAAATTCAGGCATGTTTCCAAAGTTTTCTGTCTCTGACAGCATAAAACAGGAATGTGGTGAGAGTAAGGGAAGCTGCCTGATGTATCACATGATGCCCATCCTTTAAAAGTACAGATGTTCCCTCCATGCTCCAAGGGACGATTTGGAAGACGGAGGGTTCAAAAACTCCTACTATATCCAACCACAAGCACCTGGGCTGCTGTAGGGAGTGTGTTGCCATGGAAAGATGAGGGAGGCAGCAGTGTGGTGGCTGGAGTATTCCTACCAATGACCATGAAGAATTTTGACTGCTCTGCTGTGTTTCCTGCAAGAGCCTAGCAACCACTTCCTAAGTGTTACACACACATGGAGAAGCGTTTGGCAGGGTTACATGCCAAGGAAGCAGGCAGGGATGGGTCTTGGGCAGGGACACACTGCCTGTGTGCAGCTTGAACACCTCAATTCCTGCTCCAGGAAGCTCATGCAGAGGTGCAGGCCATCAGTGGATCACATGGACACCAGAGCAGGGCGAGGGAGGGGGTGACATGCAGGAGACAGAGCCACAGGGAGGAGGAGACCTGAAGAAGGAACCAGATGTCCCACCTTCACAGGGCAGAACAGGACAGCTTGTCATTGCTCAGTTCAGAGGTCCTGGATGGAGAATTCCTGTCATCAGCAATCTCTTCTACACACAAGCAAACTCGTCCATGGGTTCACTTCGAATGTGTTGTTTGCACCAGGACTCCTGCTATCTGCCCTTATAAAACAGAAGAAACAAGACTTACAAGATACCTTGCACTGAAAGAGTGAGCGACCCAGAGTCAGGGGCCACAGCATCCTACCCTCTTCCACATCCTGAAGTAATGAAAAGGCAGATAGTCCACATGTGCCAGTCTGGCCTCTTCCACAAAAAGGGCACTATAAACTGACAAAGAACAGCTTCTGCCCATTCATTAAGTTCTTGGCATTAACAGATTTCTCTCCAACCAAGCCATAAAACCCAAAGCTGCATGCAAGCAGCATCCTAAGATATCCTTGTAAATCTCAGCCACCACCTTCATTAATTACAACCCAGTGATAGTTCAGGCCATTAGTTCTGGATGGTAACTTCATTTATTCCCACGTTAATGCTCGATGTCAGTGGTTATCTCATTACCACTCTATTACTTACCTCCTTAATCCATCATTGCAACCCAGGCCAGAAGGGAGGAGCAGAGTTTGCCCTGTGTCTGTCAAAAGATGATGCATCAAGTGTAGAGCACCTAGAAATCACAAAGCACTTCCAATCTGCAGCTGAGGTTATATCTATTTAAGAGGAGGAAATGACACAGATGAGTGTTGTCAGGACCACAGACACGCTCTAGCATTGAAAAATTGTGGATTGGTACCTATTAAGTCAGAGCCAAAAGCTTTGGTAAGAAGCACATATTAGCAGTTACACAGAAAAATGACACTAACTCCACCCTCCTCCTCCTCCTCAGACTCTCCTTCCTCCAAACCCCAGGTTAGATACAAACAGTTACTGCCTGTTAAACGCTTTGGGAAGGCAGGTCAAAGTAAGGGCACTGGGAGCTGCTACCTGCTGAATGCTCCAGAAAACACACAGGCAGCATTGCACAAACCACCAGCCCTGAGTGTCAGTGCAAATACACCTAAAACATGGACAGGTACAACAGTTCTTGGCATTTCAACTTGTACGAGCTGTAGTTCCTCTTGTGTGGTGAGCAGGCACTTCCAAAAATGTGCTTTATTGCACCTACCACACTCCTGCCCTTCCCAGGATTTACTCCACCCACTGATCTGGCCCCATGGGTCTGATCAGGGTGTCCCAGCCCAGCAAGACCAGCAACTTTCCTTGTCTCATTCCCTCCTTCTTCCAAATAGTCTTGCTGGAGACATCATTTCAATCTTCCCCTGCCTGATTCAGAAAAAGGGAAGCTGGTTTAATGTTGACAGGCTGTGAAACGAAGATGTGAGCTAGGGAAAGGTTCAGAGGGATGTTTCTCTTGCAGCAACACAGGTTCTTAAAGCAAGAAAAGCACCTCTGCTCTGCCCAGATATGACACTCAGACAACAGGCAGGTGACTGTGGTTTTCACTGCTTCCAAGTGACATGATAAGGAAGGACTAAAATCCTCTAATGTGGAAGAAGTTCATGCCACAAAAGTAAGGTAGAGAAAGAAGACACAGCCCCAAGATGATGGCAGGAGTGAAAAATAGCAATGATTTCCTCTGTGATCAGTAAATCCCCAGATAACATGCCTGTGCTGGCAAAAGCAGGCTCTAAATAGTGCTGTGCCAGAACAACTGACAGGGCAAGTCTGCAAGATGCCACAATCAGATGTAATTAAAACACCTTTGCTGCCCTGCTTTCCATTCTCTCAGCAACAAAATCCATTACACAATGCAGTAAGAAAATGATTTAAAATGTCCCTGAAGCCAAGTTGTTGACACCAGCGTAGACAGATGGATTTTGATACACCCTTGATTAAACAGCTTACTGTAGAAGGCAAAGAGGGCAGGAAAGGAGCTGGGTGATGAGCCAGAGGCCCATCTGAGAAACAGGGATTATCCTCCAGGGAAAGCAAGTGCTGTTGCAACAGAAAGATGTCCCATCAACTAGCCAGAGGCTAAAATAGCCTCATCCCCTTGGGAAGCAGGCTGCAACCCTCTGCTCCTGTGCCAGGCTCCTGTTCCTGAGCTTCCTCCTCAGAGTCAGGCCGGCAACACCACGCACATCACTGTTTTCATTCTCTGATGAAAGGCTGTGGTGAAAGCAAACAGCAGAAAGCCTCACACAGGGCTCAGCCCATCGCAGGGCCAGCAGTACTTCCATTTACATGGATTTAGACATCTTGGTGGGATTCCCCAGGGTGCAGTAGAATACTGTCTCCAAGCACAGTTTTCCCCACAGGCACTCATAACATCTCTCTTCCTCCTTCTCTCACACACAGATGCCCTTGGACTGATAAGGATTGAACTCTTCTTGCATAGAGGGGCAAAGATAAAGTCTTCTCCCTGGCCTTCTATTTATATCAAGCTGGTAGGAACTTGTTATCTTTAAGATCTCTGGCATGAACAGCTGCAATCAGCCATCAGGTTGGAAAGTTATTAGGAGTGGGCAAAAAGGAGCCAAAACCACATTAACCCTGTTTTCTCAGGGGAAAAAAAGGCAAGAAGGAAAGGGTGTTACAACTGAGTGTGGGCAGCTGCCCTGTCCAACTCTTAGAGACCTCAGAGAGAAGAAATCCAGGTGGGACAGTGGGTCAAACACAGCCCAGGAGCTCAGAGAACAACCTGAAGATAACTCAGAGCTGAGGTGAAACACCTTGAGCGAGCACAGAGGTGCTGCAGAAACAGGGGTGGGTCATGGAGCTACACAAACCAGAGACCACTGCTTACCAATCCTGTGTCATTCTGGCCCACTTTGGTGGCCAAGAGCTTTGAAGTTGCTGTGGCCTGGTAGCAAAGGCTTCCAGGCATGTCCCACAAGGAAAGGGGGCTTTCCCATCAAATATTCCTCTGGCTTTGTGTACAAAAATATTTGACAGAAGATTCCAGACCAGGAAGGACTTATAAGTCAGAAAGTATAATATACTCAATATCACCAGATCCTGCAGTGGTAAAGCCCCTGTTTATACACAACATTTGTATCTCTCATTACTAACATACGTCAGATGGTTCAAATTTCCCCCACTCCCTCACATGGCCTGAAAGAAACTGAAGTGAGCAGCAAGAATCCCTGCCCAGTATCCACTTCATTATTTTTCTGGGACTTGCCTGCGACTGCCCTGTGCAAACATGACACTTGGGAACCCTAAAAACCTTGCTTGTTTTTATAGGCACTTTCAAGACTGAGTTGGCTTTTGGTCCCAGCTCTGTTCAACGCAGTGCTGGTTCATACCCACTGATCCTCAGATCTGCAAACAGCTGAGGGGCAGCCAAGCTCCCTTCTGAGTCATCAGAAATTCAGCCTCACGTTAACCAGCGCAGGGCCCAGGCGCTGCAGAGAGCACTGCCTGCAGCTCCACCTTCCCTGCAGCCATTCAGTCTGAGAAGGGATAATCCTGTCTCCAGCAAGAAAGCAGGTGTCTGAAAAACGTGTTCGCCGGTGCATTTCAATTAACGATGTTTTTAAACACCGTTTCACACCCGGTGCAAACACAGTCACGTCTCCAGAAAGAGAGGGGTGCCCTTCCAGGGGTATCACAGCTGTTTGTAGCCCGTGGCTTCCCCACCTGGGAAAGGTGAGGAGGGATCCACCTTTATTTTAAGGATGCCTCAAGCAAAGCCTCACATCTTTTAAAACAGGGCAAGAAGGTCACATTTTACTGCTTAGCAACTTTTCTCTCCCAAAAGCCATTGTCCAAAGCTTACCCTGGCTGTGTGGGCACCTGCACACGGAGCCAAAGGAGCAGCTGGTCCTTGCCTCGGTCTTGCACTGCCCTTTCAGGTAGCTGACAGCTGAGCATTTTATTCCCCCTGCAAACAAAACACATCGGTTGAGCACTCCCAGGGAAGCAGCAGGACCAGAGCGAATTCCCAGAAAAAGCCTTGGCAGCGTTCCTCCCGCTCCCTCCATGGCTGCGAGTGAGACGGAGTAACGGAGCACGACACATGGAGCAGCAGAAGCTGAAGAACGCACGTGTTACCGCAAGGAAAATTAACAATATCGAGGGGGAGGGGGGAGAAGGGAAAGCACTTGCTAACAAATATTTATTAGAACACAATCTTATCCTCATCTGACCCTGATTCTGATTAAAGGAACGCAGACAGACTGGCATCACTGCCGGGGCACTCAGGCGATATCTCTGACCATCCATGGATGTAATTGCCCAGGAGGTCCCACAACCACCCCCTTGCCTTCCCCTCGGCTCTCTGAGATGCCTCAGCTTATGTCACCCCTCCATGGCAGGGGGGTTGGAACAAAGTGATCTTTAAGGTCCCTTCCAAGCCAAACCATTCTAGGATTCTAATATTGTGTTTTAAGGCCACTCAGCCCCACTCTCCAGGCTCCCAGAGCCCTCTGACGTAGCCAAAGCATCTTCCAGTCTCTGTGGAGAGGTCCTGTACGAGATAGCCCTCCGTGCATCCAGCTCACCATGGCCTGTCTTGGATACAAAAGGACACTCAAGCCCTGCAACTTCCACAGATCTCCTTCCATGTGTCCTCTACAGAGATCAGCAAGGGATGTGCTACCCATCCCAGCAGGCCAGCATGCTCCATAAAATGGAGGGAGAAATCTGCTATCCTCAGTGGGGTTTGGGGGCTTCCAAAACCATCTAGTTTAGGACCCAAGTGTGCCAGCTACAGCACTTCACAGGAGCACAGGGAACCATAGAACCCTAGAATGGGTTGGAAAGGACCTTAAAGATCACCTAGTTCCAACCCCCCTGCCATGAGCAGGGACACCTTCCACTAGACCAGGGTTTAGGGACCACAAACATTGGAAGTCTTGGGAAATCCAGACACGTGCCAAGTTGTTTGACAGACTCCTGAAATGGCCCAGTAAGCAACGGGCTTGGTGTAGTGTCCCCATCAGTCACTGGCCACTGAGCCTGATCCCACAGCATAACAACAGCCCTTAAATACTCTTTCCACTTAAAAAAGAATGAAGAGCCAGGGCGAAAAAAATGCTGCAATGGAAGCAGAGAGTTGAAATTCAACCCCTGTAAGAAGCCCTAAAGACAAAAGCACATTTCACATTCTGAAATCTGTAAGAGAGTTGATTTTCTGTTCCTCAGCTTCAATCACCTCTTTGCTAGTGAGATTTGGCACTAGCCCAGGTCTCCTGAGGAAGCAGAGGCAAGGATTTTCCGAAGGATTTGTCACCCACATCTCCTCCCGCAATGTTTCCGCGGGGATTTTTTAATGAGCAAGGCCCTCCTTTGAAAAAAAAAAAAATCTGCCTTTAAAAGATGAGGCCATGCCCACGAGAAACCCAGGAGCAATATTTATACCTCAGCCCCAGCTCCAAGCCCACTGCTTGCCTGCAAGCCCTGCTGCTCCACCTGCTTAAGGAGGACGTTTTCATTACTGTTCAATTTGCAGTGAGTTGAGTTTCACGTCCTTCACTGGATTATTTTTATATTTAATGTCCTCTCCTCTCCTCCTCTTCTTTTTATAGACTGGTAATCCAAGTCCCTTGGCAAGGCTGAGTAATCTCAATCAGATTTTAATCAAAGTAAGCCAGATCCTCAGCTGCCAGTATTGATGCATCTGCCTTTAAATATTTGAACGATGCCGATTTACCCCGGCGAGGCCCGGGCCCCATCCGCTCAGGAAATTTAAATTCCTTCCTATGCATCAAGCTAAAACAACAAGGCAGAACAAGCAACCTGCTGAGAAGGGGTTTTAGTTTATAAAACCAATACCCAGGATTTCAAAACTAAATGAAAATCTGAGATAATCCCTCCCCAAATCCAGCCTGGGAAAAGCACTGTGGACAGATAAGTATCAAGTAACTTCTTAAAACACACTTTTTCCTCTCGTAAAAGCTTTCATCAAGTCAGAGCCAAAGGGAAATTACCCACCATGCTTCATTCCTTGACATGACCCAGAGAATTCATGTTTTCCATCCATAGAAAATGCATATTTTACCCATGCAGGCTTCTCCAGGATGGACCTGCTTCTGCTTTGTTCAGCAATGACCTTTGTGTAACTGCCAAACCCCAGCATCTAAAATCAGCATATTAGTTGGAAAATAATGAGATTTCTGGAATACAAAACGTTGGCTCCATTTTCCTTACCTTCAAAGATGATATCTGCCAGCTTCCCTCCACAGATTAGAAAGATAAAAAAAGCACTTAGATGAAAAAGAATCTCATCTAATCGTCTGACTCCAGGAGACGCGTTTGAGGTGGAGACGGGGGCTGTCCCACGGAACTTGTCAGTATTTGGACTGCAAACAGGGTCCAAGTGACTCCAGAAAGAGATGATTGCCTAAAATACACTGCTAAAGGCAAGGCAAGCCAGTTACACTGATTTACTTACTCATTTTGGGGGTGAATCCTGAGAAATACTAAGGATTTCTCAGGGTCTCCGGTCATTTCCACTGAGACAGGGGTTACACAAAGCATCACCTGAGGAGTTACACCAGAGCATCACAGTCAATCTGCATTTCCATCCCTGCTGCTGCAATGTTGTAAGGTCTTCAGGGCTTGTCAGATCCCTGCTCTAGTTTAGGCCCAGTCCTGAACAAGAGGAGAACAACTCAAGGACCTCAGTCCCTCGTTCCCCCAGGAGGCTGAGGGCTCCTACTCACCTTTTCCAGCTGGACCTCCTCTTTCTTACACCTCCAGGTGGGCTGGTTTACAAGCAGGCAGGCTGGGATCAAATCCTGCCCTGTTTGTGACTCTTTTTTGCCATCCTGCTTCACAGCTGGATGCCTCAGTTTTGCTCTCCACACCCCAAAGTCAAGATGGAGGAAGAAGTCCAGTGAGGAGCAGCTGAGAGAGCTGGGGTTGTTTACTCTGGAGAAAAGGAGGCTCAGGGGGCACCTCATCACTCCCTACAAACCGCCTGACAGGACGTTGTAGCCAGGTGGGGGTCCGTCTCTTCTCCCAGGTAACAAAGGATAGGACAAGAGGAAATGGCCTCAAGCTTTGCCAGTGGAGGTTTAGATTGGATATTAGGAAAAATTTCTCCACTGAAGGGGTGTTCAAGCACTGGAACAGGCTGACCAGGGAAGGGGTGAAATCACCATCCCTGGAAGTGTCCAAAAAACATGTGTATGTGTCACTTGGGGGCATGGTTTAGTCCCCAAGACTCTTGGAGACTTGGCAGTGCTGGTTTAATGGCTGGACTCGATGATCTTAGAGGTCTTCTCCAATCTAAATGATTCTGTGAGTCTATAATCACCTTCTTGCAAGAGCCCAGCCCTTCAGATCCCTATCACGTCCTTTATGCAAGTCCAGTAAAACTAGTGACCCATTCAACTGAGCAAACACCACAGGATTAGATGCTGCCCTGCAAGGGACAAAGCCACAGGACAGTGTCACTAAGATGTTATTGCTCATTAAGGGGACCAAAAACAAGCTGGGCCTTAAAAAAGCATGAGTCAGCTGACGGTTGTGAGGGGAAACGACAAAGGCAGAGCTAGGGATGAGGAAAGAGCAAGGACTTGGTTTCTTTCCCCATGGCTCCTCCACAGTTCTGCAAGGAGAAGAGTGCTCTAGTGGACACAACATCACCAATTGCCTCCCATAGGGAAGGAACATTAAACAGGCAGCAAAGGGACCAGTGGCATGGCCAGGGACTGACCTCAAACCATATCTTATACAGGGGTTTAAATCCAAGTCACTGGTGGCTCCTCCAGTCTCTGGACATGCAAGACAAGCTCGATCCGGCTGCACACAGACACTTGGGAAAGCCATGGCAAATCATCTAAGGTGGGATTCAGCACAGGATGCACATTAACAGGCACATTAAAATGGTCTCATGAAGGGAAGTATATGGAGGAGCATCTGCAGGGGGGTTAACAAGCTCCAGCTCCCGCGAGCAGCCAGCGCTTTTTGTCCTTTTGTATTAGCTCACCCGAGCATCCCCGATCCGAGACACAGGTTCCTACGACAGATGGCCTTATTAGTGCCCATGTATGGCGACAAGGAAACCACAACAGGTGGCCCAGACAGTAACTGAAACACTTCACCCCACTTGCCCCAAAACAGGCTCAAGATCACGCCAAGGGCAACCAGGATCGAAGCACGAAGAAGATGTCGTTTAAGTAAGTCCAAATTACCCTTGCGTGCCTTCTGCCCCGTTACAGTCCCAGCTGGAACATGTTGTCCAGTTTGGGATGCTGATCTCCCAGACAGTGTGAACAATTGGAGACAGTCCAGAGAAGACAGACAACAGTGACTGGAAATCTATAGGAGATAGCTGGCAAAGAAGGATGGAAAGCATTTGTGATGCTGAGCGTAGAGAGGATGGAGACATGGTTACAGTCTTCAGACAAACGAAAAGGAAAGGGAAAAAAAAACCCCAAACCCAATCCTACCTGTGGAAAGGACAAGAAATCCTGAGCTTAATTTAAAACAAGGAATCTTTCGGTCAAACATTAAAAAAAAGCTTTCCAAGTGTACAGACAGCAAAAGCACCATACACTTGTCAGAACTCCATTGCTTTCTTCAAACATCCACTGTTAAATTAAACCCTTTGGGCTACGCTGCAGAAGACCCCATAACTCAGCCGCGAGGCAGTCGAGAGAGTTACGAGCTCATTCTGCACTGTGACGTGGGGAATGGATAGTCCAACACCAGTGAAAAAGAAATTAATTTCCAGGCCCATCATAAAAAACACCAAAAAAAAACAAAAAGCCACACGGCAGCTACTGCTCAGAGGGACCTTTAAAAACCCCTTCCAGTGCAAAAAGGTCATCGAGGGAGGGAGTGGGCGCGTGCTTCCAGGGCTGGCAGGAGCTGGGGAATGGAGAGCAAAAACCCACAGCAAAGCTGGGCCTGCTGGAGTGGTGGAAAACCAGA